TGTTAAGAGTTGGGCCTTCAACTGTCAGGTGGTGACTGAATACTGTGCTCTCTCCCCTGTCCTGATCTGTAGTACTTGGTCATGGATTACTACGTGGGTGGTGATTTACTCACCCTGCTCAGTAAATTTGAAGACAAGCTCCCAGAAGATATGGCAAGATTCTACATTGGTGAGATGGTGCTGGCCATTGACTCCATCCATCAGCTTCATTATGTGCACAGGTAATCACCTTACAGATTTTATGGAACCCCATGCAATGTGTTAAACTATTCCTCTCGGAGTTCCCTGACCCACTGACCCAGATACCAAGCTGTCTAGAGAAGTTATACAATAGCTGTCCTCACGTGGAACTGCCACAGCATAAAGTGACTTACTCAGGTCACCCTCTGCGGACCCCAGCGCCTGGCCCTGCCCCCAGGAGATTCCAGCTCTATTGTGACTGTGGTGATGATCTTACTCCCACCACCCAAAGCCACCTTGTCTTTTGGTACTTACTTGATGTTGACTCACCCTCTCCCCTGCTGCTGCATCTCCTCCAGATGCCTACCTGCCCCCTGAGCTCATGTGGGTTTCCCATCCCACTGTGTCTCTGTCATCTCCGCTCCACCTTCTCTCTGTCTCATACCAACCCCAGGGGCCACAGCCTTGATCACCCCACAGAACACTCAGAAGAAAGATTGGGGTGAAGAGAGAGGCTCACATCACAGCAGCGTAAGGGGCCTGAGTTGAGTAAGAGTGTGACTGTCCGCAGGAGGGTCATATGGGGTGAAAGTATGAGGCAGGCCCTTCGGCTCCCCCACCCACTCTGCTTCGGGGGTAGCACCTTAACGCTGGTGCAGTGGCCCTGAGGGCTGTTTGTTTGAGTTGTTTTATTTTTATCAAAGTAATTCCATGGCAGTAGTTTTAAAAAGTCTAAATAGTTCTACAGGGCTTGTAACAAAACGGGAGTCCCAGCCCTGCCCTGATGCCACTCTCCACGGGTGGCACCTGTCACTTCTTAGCTGCTTCTCCGGTACCTGACCTCGTCTGTCCAGGTATCATGAGGGGGTCAGAGCTGCCAAAGTGGACGTGTACTCTCCTACCTAAAGCATCTCTCCCACATGTGTTCCAGACCCCCCTCTCGCACGCTGTCCCAGTTAGTAGAATAACAGCTTTTGGCTAAATAAGTGTTTGCTATTTATAATATAATGATTGTGAATATTACTCACAGATGAGCCTCGTAGTGTACAATAGTTACACTGCTGTAAATTGTCTTCTCTGGAGTTAATAATTACCCTGCTTTTTTATTAGCTAGCTTCTGTGTAGCTGTCACCAATTATCTCCCAATATGGTGGCCAAATCAAACAGCTCTAGCCATGTCGGGAAGCACCTCGTCTTTCCTGGGCGTGGTCCCCTCCAGCCTCGCCATTCCTCTCAGCTTTGGTCTTCTCCAGGCTCATTAGACTGTTCTCTTTCTGGGATTTCTTTTCAAGTGGAAAGATTCCCCTCCCTGCGTCTGGGGCTGGGCCCTTGTTCCTGAGTCACACATCTCCCCCTTTCTCAGTTTATTCTCTGGATTTGGTAGCACATGTCCTGCATGGGAGGAAGAGGAGGCCTGCGAGAAAACTGACAGCAGCATCTCAGGCCCGCCACATGGTGACTGATACCTTATCCCGTGTGCAGTTTGAGATTAGGAACTGCCTTCTTCGCGGGACCACACGGGACCACTCCTGTCTCCTGCCCTCAGTGTTGCTGTGGAGGTTTGCAGCCATCGCAGTTCCCCTGGCATCACCTTGTGTGGGTCACAGACCGCTCCCGGCTCAGCCTCCACAGCCTGTCATTTTCCTGCGCAGACGGGGTTCCTGCTCTGAGAACAGCACGGGCTCCCAGGGCCGGAGCGGCCCCGCTGCTTGGAAGGAGCTGGGAGCCGGGGTGCCCCGCACCACAGCGAGCCCAGGGAGCTGCCCCCACATAGCAGCTGTGTCTTCTGGGGTGATGAGCTCAGGCCAGACTTCTGTTTTCTCATACGCTTCTCGTGTAGTTACGCCTGCTTCTGTCGCAGTTACTGTAGTTGTTCTTAACGTTAGAGCTACACTCTACCTTTTTGACAGAACTCTGCCTAATTCATACCAGAGATAAATGTCTTTGGATTTGTCTCAGATCTCCAGGGAAATTAATTTGACCACCTTTTTAGTAGTTTCTTCTTTTCCTGTGTCCCCTAATTAGAAACCTTTCTCCTCATTCTCTTAATTGGCTTTGTAGAAGCTCTGTTCTGTCATTTGACTTCCAGACATACTAGGAGACATTATGTAATTCTAACCCTCCCCATAAACTCAGTATTTAGACTAAGTGCTTGAATGACCCAGTCTAACAACAGAAAGTTTTGTGTTTTTGCTAGAAAGTTCACAAAGTCAGGTTTTATAGGAAGTCGGCCCTATCTCTTTGTGGGTACATTGTGAATAAGTGGAAACTACATTTGGTAGGGCCAGAAATTAGTGAATTGCATTAGCACAAGAGTTATATTACCAGTGGGTGTGACAGGCATGACTCAGACCCTGTGCCATAGCTTCAGGCCCTTGTGGTTGAATGTGGCCCTTGGTGACTTGGGGGCAGTGCCTGCTGCTCACCAGCTGGGCTTCTGTTGGCAGAACAGCTGCTCCCTGGCTCTGGCAGCAAGGAAGCAGTGGGAAGCCAAGGCCAGAAGCACACTGTGCAGGTGGGCGCCTGAGAGGCTTGCCCCTGGTGCCAGCAGAGGCGGAAGCCAAGGGTGAAGGTACGTGGAGGATTGCGGACAGGGAACATGACACCCTGGAAGAGCGGGTTGTACATCTCGTAAAAGAAATGGAAATGGGGGACAAGTTTAAGGGAAAGACTGTTCAGAGAACAAAAAAGGTCTTAGAAAAGAAAGACTAGACAAAGTAGAGAGCTGAGAAGAGGTGATGGGAAAGTAGGGAAATCTGAGCAAGGTGGAGAAGTAGGACGCATCGGTGTCACAGTGGCTCTGGAACCGCCCCCCAAGGAGGGGATCTGATTGATCTCCACCCGAAGGGCTCCCCAGTTGTCCTGACGCCAGCTTGCTTGCTTACTGAATGTACCTTTGCCCTCTTGATTTGACATGACATCTCTGTTGTTGGTCTGGTCTGGGCATCGCCCTCTGCCCTGTTGTCCCTGTGTCTGTCCGTGCACTGGGATACTACCACTTTGCTCATGGAGGCTTGGAATCACGTGGCCAGACCCCCATCACACCTCTTTATCCTCCGTGTTTTTCTGGCTACATTTTGGTGTTGATTGATCCACAAGAGCTTCACTTTCAACTTTGTCTGGCTCCAAAAAGAACAGGACATTGATTTTTTTTTTAATTTGATGGGCCTCCTCATCTATACATTTTTTTTAACTTCTGGAAAGTTCTCTTGGATTACAGTTTCAAATATTAGTTATATTCTATTTTAATTTCTTCAAGAACTCTGTTTATATATGTGTTGGACCTTCTTTGCTGTTGCATTCAGTTTCCGATCATTTCTCTTTGATCCTTTTTACTTCGCAGATTTTTATTCTGGATCTTTTCCTCCCCTTTTTTCAGGGCCTTTTAGTACATCATGTTCACTCGAGTTCAGTCTCCTTTGGGCATCTTATAATTTAATCTTCATTTCTGATAAGATTTTGTCTCTTCTGTTTCTTTCCTGAGTTGAATTAGCTCACTTGATTTCTTCTTGTATTTGTCTAGTTCTGTTCTTAGTTTTTGTTTCTCTGACCAACTGAGGGATTGTTTTTTTTTCTCTTCCACATTCCTGAGTGCTCATATAAGGATATTTATTTCATTTTTTAAAGGATATCTATATTATATTATTTTAAATATTTAAATATTACTAATTATTTACATGTATAGTATGTTTTATTTCACTTATTTAGAAGTATTTGTTTTATTAAAGGATATTTATAGATGAGCTCCGAGTGCTGTGCTAGGGTTTCCTTTCACTTCGTGGCTCTTTCTTGGGGTGGACACATCATCTTCTGCTCGCCTTCATTTGTGGGGCTCATCCCTGTTGCCGAGAGTTGTTGACATGCCCCTTTGTTTTCCTCGAGGTGTTGCACCTGTCACATAAGGCCAACCCGGTTTACTTAGCCAGTCTCCTGCACATGCACATTAGGTGGAATCCACTCTTTGGCCGTTTGAGTTCCACCTGCAATCCCCTTGGTGAACATCTTTCTTTGCTTTGTCTTTATAGTTTGCATTCTCTTTCATTCTGTGGTCACATAAGCTCGCTCTGCTGGAAAGGAGGGCTTGTGCTTTAAGTGCTGCCCCCCGTCCCCTGCCAGTGTTCCCAAGCTCATGGAACAGTAGTAGGACTATGGGTTCAGTGAGACAGATGCAGATTTACCTTCCCGCTCTCCACTCACTTCTGTATAATTGGGCAGATTACGCGATTCCTAAGCCTCACTGTCTTTATCTGTAAAGTGCAGTCTGGGTGTGCGGGTGGTTTGTTGGCCTGCAGTGGTCTTGCCCCAGAGCTTCACCTGATGACTGTGCTCTTCAGGGCTCGGCCACCCTTTGCACCTCGTTTCATGTTCCTCATCACACTTAGCACACAGACTGTATTCTGTGCTCCTCAGCCCACGTGCACATTCGCACACGTGCATGTTCATTCTCTGACACCTCGGCTCATGTGGAGTTTCGTGAAGGCAGGGGAAGTGTCAGCTCATCACTCCTGTGGACCTGGGGTCTAGGGCAGTGCCAGCAAAGGAGGTGCTTGTGAACCACTGGACAGCGGGGCTGGCAGGAGGGGAGGGAAAGATCAGTACCAGCCTCTCCCCGGGTAGCTGGGGGCTGACTGGTGCTCAGGAGTGAGTTGGGGGGCGACTGCTGCTGTCGTGTCCTTCATCACAGGGACGCGTTCTGGGTGGTCAGCGCTCTCGTGAAATCACGCTAGCACGTCCTCAGCTGGTCCACGACTAGTCTAAGGGCTTTGACTGCCTGTTGTGTTGCATGGAAATGGTTAACTTATGTGTTTGTTTTCTAACAGAGACATTAAACCTGACAATGTCCTTTTGGACGTGAATGGTCATATCCGCCTGGCTGACTTTGGATCATGTTTGAAGATGAATGATGATGGAACTGTAGGTATTTTTGTTGGAAATTTTCTATTTGGTTTTGGGTTTTGCTTATAATTAGAAGGGGCTTAATTTTCATTTTGAGATACAATTCAGAAATTAAGTTTATAAATAGGAGTTAAGATAAATCCATTAAGGAGGCAGCTGAAATTTTCTATTTAAGTTTAAAACATTTTTATTGCTTTGGGTGTTTACAAAAGTAATGCATATGCTTTCTAAAGTGGAGGGTTGTCAAGTTTCTTCAAAGCCCTGGGCAGCCAAGAGCATGTCAAATTGTGGCAAAAGAGAAGCAGGTCTGGGGTCCTTTCCTAAAATATGGGGTCCAGGCTGTCATGGGGACAGAAGTTAACTGAAACAGTACATACTCATTTCTGCCCAACAACAGGTAACTCCCTGATAGTCAGGGATTTTCTTTCTGTGGGTGTTACAGATCTAGAAACAGGGGCCCTTGGGCCTCAGTTTCCAGGGCCAGCCAGCACGCCCACTGCAAAGCAGGACACGTTGGTCCCGCCGTCACCCAGAGACCTGGCTTGGGCCTCGGTCAGACCAGCATCGCAGCTTAGGGACCTCGGGTGGGGCTGCCCTGGCTCAGCTCACTGCCGCTCCGTAGCTGCTTGCAGTGAACTGCTCTCACTGTAGGAAACAGCTGGCGTTTCTCCTACAGTCCCCATTGCAGTCTTGTCTTAGATTTTTTGGAAGTCTTCTCCGGGAGAGAGCAGGCCCATTCTTTCCTGCTGGCGAGTTTCAGGCATCAGCGAAAGAAGCTGTGAAGCTGATGTCATTGTTCTCGGAGTGAAGCCTTCCCTGGGGCCAGTTTCTTGCTTCTGAAAGTCTACACTGTGTGTTGGTTCATTGGTAACTGGCACTGTCCCCAAGTCCTGTCTCCTGATGACGGAACAGGAGCCAGAGCCTTGCTTGGTCACCTTTCCTAGACTGTGCATTCCTCCCTGATGTGGCCGCTCACCTGTCACCACCTGATAATGCTCCCTTCTTCCCGCGGTGGGGTGGAGCTGCAGCTGGGAAGCACGGAATGCCTAGAAGTGACTCTGGCTGCATGACAGAGGCAGACCTTCCTGCTGCTTCATTCAGACCAACTTAGGGTGCTGCCTTGTTACCCCAGGCTTTCTTCTCAGCCATGACCCAAGGGAGAGTCTGGCCTTTCCCTGGACAGGCCTCTTATGGTTCTTTGCCCACATCCTTGCTGACCCTTGGCCTTGTAGACTCATATTCTCCACATGCTCTGAGGCCCATCGATGATTCTCAGTTTACCCAGCCCCCCTTCTCTGCAGATTGCTGCCATGCTGATTGCAGCTCTCCGTAGAGGTGTGGCTGTTTTGAGGCTTTTTCCTGCTGACGTCAATAGCTGAGGGATTGTTCTTCCCTGTTGAAGGGCCTTAGCCTCCTGGTTTCCCATCTGGGGAATGCTATAGCACCCAGCTAGTATCTGGATCTACCCACAGATGCTCCCTTTGGGAGTCTGAAGGGTGGGCCTGTCTATGAGCAGCCTCAGCAATTCCTGGGGTGGGTTAGAAATTTGGGGTCATGGGCCCCACCGTAAAGCTTACATTTTATAAGAACCCAGGAGGTCTCTATGCAACTGAAAGTCTTAGAGAGGCTGGTCTCTGAACCACACATTGAGTAGTGGGAAATGCCACCCCTTGCAGGACTAGGATGCCATTTGGGGGCTGTGAAGGGCACTTGAGCATGGAGAGACCAGGTGTGCAAGGGTCTCATGCATTCTAGAAACTGCCCAATGTTTAGTGCTACAAGAGATCATTTATATTAGTTGAATTTAAGTTGTTAACCTTTAAATTGTGATCATGTGCCCATTTTAGTCCATGACTATTTCATTACCTGTGTCCCATTTTAGAGGAGGCGGCTAGAGGTTTGGCATTAGGTGCGCCCTAGACTTGCCCTTTAACACCACCCTCTTCCATAAGGTTCAGTCCTCAGTGGCAGTGGGCACACCTGACTACATCTCGCCAGAGATTCTGCAGGCGATGGAGGACGGCATGGGCAAGTACGGCCCCGAGTGCGACTGGTGGTCCCTGGGCGTCTGCATGTATGAAATGCTGTATGGAGAAACGCCATTTTATGCAGAATCCCTCGTGGAGACCTATGGAAAGATTATGAACCATGAAGTAAGACACTGGGTTTGCACAGCCTGCCATGTTCTGGTGCCGAGGAGCAGGCCTGGAGGCAGAGAGCAGCCTGGTGGGGGTGGGGGAGTGTTGGCAAGCTGGGGTAGTTGTATGGGAGGAGGTGGGGGGCTGCCCGGCAGGGTGGGGGCGTTCAGGGGAGTGAGGAGGTAGACCCAGCACAGGTTGCAGGAGGGTGGGAGGCCTTGGGGGTGACCCATTCCCCTGGGGAGGGGGCTTCTCTGGGCAGAGCCCCTGACGGGAAGCCGGCTGTGGTAGGGAGAGGCAGGTGTGGGTGCGGCCGTGTGAGTGTGGTGAGGCACCTTGGGTTGGGCCACTGGGAGGAGCAGTTGGGCGGTTTGACCTGTGGGTCTAGATTGATCAGATAGTTGCCAGCTGTCGTGCCACATCTGTTTTCCCAGAAATCAGCTCTCATACATACATGGATTGTGCATCTCAACATAGGGGGTTCTTAATCCTTTCTGCGTCCTATTTCTTTGCCTCTTATTTTTACCTTTTCCCTTTCCCAGCTGTTCATTTTCATTTTGATGTTGCCTGCCTTCTATCTTTCCTTCGTTTTCTTGTTTTTTATTATTTCCTCTTCCATCTAATATTTTTGTCATGTTTTTTTCTTTATTCTTACATGCATTTTTTTCTAATGCCATCCCCACCCCTCCTGCCAGTATGCTTGCAGCATTCTTTCCCTACCTGCTCTGCCACCCAGCCCCCCGATGTTCCCACTCAATGCTGACCTGTTCCCCATCAGTGCTCGTGGCCGGGAGCAGGTGAACTCTGACCTGATGAATGTTCTTCCCTCTAAGTCCAAGTCAGAGCAAGTTACACTTTCATAAAGCACTTTTGCAGAGTAAAAATAAATTCTTTCACTTATAAATTAGTCTGTAATCACTGTGGATACTTCAGACAGTGCAAACATGTACATGGTGTTGGTGAGGGGCAGCCTAGCTGCTCAGTGTGAGGCGCTGATGAGGTGGGAGCAGGATGCAGGGCCTCTGAAAACCTGCGGGGTGGTGCTGTGCCGCCCTGGGCCTCTCGTGTGTCCTAGTCAGTGTCCACAGCAGCCGTGAGGCAGAGCTGCTGTCCCCGCAGAGATCACCAAGGTGATATCTGGACCACAGCTCCATCTCTCAGCACCTCTTGCTGTGTGGTGTGCAGCCTTGCAGATTTAATGCAGGGACTGTGTTCACATAGCATATGGCCAGCTGTTTGTCCTCTTATGCTCAGCACACAGATGTGGGCCTTCCTGTGTGTGTTTGTGTCTGTACTGTATCTCTTCTTAACAAGCTCCTTTTTGACAGGCATTTAGCTCATTTGCAGTTTTCTTGGTCAGCATATAATGCTGTCCCGAGCATGTTATGTTTTCTCTTTGTGACTTTCTGTAGAATAAGTCTTTAGACATGGAGTTGCCATCTGTGCTCTACAGAGGCTTGAGCTGTGTGCCCCACTGCAGCACGTTGTCCCTGTTTATTGCACTTTGATAGGTGACAGCTTATTGTCATTTTGGTTTTGCATGAGGTGGAAATAAGTCTGCCATGAGTAAAGCAGCAAGACTGATGATTTTCTTGTTTGCTTTCTGAAATTCAGCTTCCTTTGTTTGCATTCGGTTACCATGAAATAAAACATTACTGATGCTGTGGAGGGAGCTGCTATTTCTACTTTGCTCCCTGTAATGTCTGTACCCCTCCGAGTTTTCTGAGTAAGTTTTCATCAGTGTCCGCTCATCTCCCTCCCCCCCTGCAGGAGCGGTTTCAGTTCCCATCCCACATTGCGGATGTGTCTGAAGAAGCCAAAGATCTCATTCAGAGACTCATTTGCAGCAGAGAGCGCCGGCTGGGGCAGAACGGGATAGAGGACTTCAAGAAGCACGCGTTTTTCCAAGGCCTAAACTGGGAAAATATACGCAACCTAGAGGCACCTTACATCCCCGATGTGAGCAGTCCCTCGGACACATCTAACTTCGATGTGGATGACGATGTGCTGAGAAATATTGTAAGTGTAGCAGCTGCGTAGGCCTCAGTAAAACACCTCTGTAGGGCCGAATGTTAGCAGTGTTATGGGGAAGGTGTTGCTTACCAAGATGATAAATCCGAGAACTGTGTGGTTTTTAAAATTTGGCAGTTGTTCAAGAAAATGCACCTTTTATTCCAGCCATCAACTTGGTCCTTAATGTCCCTTTTAAAAAATGAGAATTGCTCGGTTTGAGTAAAATGGAGTTAAATAGCTCTTTTGTTTTGGAACTCATCAGAAATACTTTTGCTTTTATTGTCATGATACTTTCTGCCTTTTCAAAGCAATGCCTCAGATATCACTTCACGGCAGCCCTGTCACCCCTTCTAGACCTGGAAATGCTGCAGCCAGGCCGGGAGCCTGGCTGTGGCCCCAGGGTGTATGTGAGCCTCTTGGGGTCCCGTCCTCCTCACGGTCCCTGTGAATGAGAGCGCGCCCTGTGTCTTAAGTGTCTGGATGCCCGTTTCTTGCACAGCAAGAGTACGGGCACTTTGGCAGGGACCTGCACATCCGAGCCTTTGTGCCAACACTCGGGGTGGGTTCTCCAGGCTGGGCCTGGCTCGGGCCTCGGGGGTCCGCCTGGGCCGCAGGGCTCCTCGTGCACTCGGCAGTGCTTTTGGCCCCAGAGAGTTTTGCTGTAAAATGTTGTAAAGTACTTTGTTCTTATCAAAATCCAGCTGTTTTAGACCAAACTGGTGACTTGGTTTGGGGGTAGAGAAACTCAAGTTTGACCACATAAAAGAATCTTCTGGATCACTCCCTAATTCAGAGAACTTGTCTTACTAATGTAAGAGCTGACCTCCAGACCACATGAACAGAAGTATGTCATTGTTGAAAGGATTTTTCCTAGACTCCAAAGAAACTGTTTCCACACTGTAAGTTTCCAGATAACTTTGAATTTATTTTTAATAAAAAAAGGATCCTGAAACTGAAAAATAGAGTTGTAACAAACAGTCTAAAGTGGTCTACCTTTGGGTTCCAGACCTCTTTCTGCCTTTGGCCTCCGTTTCAGGCCAAGAGCCATAGTGTTCCATCCTCTGCCCCACGTCCCCCCAGTGCCCCCACTGTCCCTCTGCTCAGGATCGTGTCGAGCAGCTGTGGCTTTAAGTCTGAATGTCACTAGTGTGTCCTGAGTCCAGCCTGTGCTGCCGCTGTCAGAGGCATCGTGTCTGTCCTCCTAACTGCACCGTACACGCAGAGCCAGCCTTCCGGAAGGCCGTGTGGCCCTCCCTGGGCAGCCTGCTTCCAGTTACCATGAGGTCTCTCCTCCTCCTCTCCTGCTGTTTAGACACAGGTTTCATTCGTGTCGTATGTGTTCCTGTGCAGGAAATACTACCTCCTGGCTCTCATCCAGGCTTCTCAGGACTGCACCTCCCTTTCATCGGCTTTACATTCACAACGGAAAGGTATGCCTCGGTTTACCGTCCCGGCTGAGCCTTCCCTTAGGGTGGACGAGCAGGTTGAGTCGGCTTCCGTGCAAGGGAATTAAATGCTGAATGAGAGAACTGTCTTTGGCTTAACCTCTGTGTGTGTCGCATGCTTGCACATGAGGTGCATTGTTGAGCAGGTTGGTGGTTAGCGAGTAGCTTAGCCAACCTCAAGAGTGCTGGAATCAAGGGACCTTACAGGTGAGCCCCAGAGGGTTGACAGAACTGTCCCTGGATTGCTCAGCCAAGTCAGCGGCAGAACCAGGAAGCCTCTGGCTGCTCTCGCCACACTGCAGCCCTCTGGCGTGAGTGTCTAGAGAAGCCTCTGCCTGCAGTCCAGCAACGCTCTGCAGCCCAGCTTCTTTAGTTTACATGCGAGCAGTGGTCTGGAAATCGCCTTCCCTGGTGTTTGCCGGGCCAGGGTGCAGCCTTCTTAGAAGCAGTTATCATCCAGTCATCAGCAGTGAGGGGGGACTCTCCGTTCTGGCTCTGTCCAAAAGTAAAGTCTTCATGGGCAATTTGTCACTTTACCCCAGGAAGTGTTTAAATGTTAGTGAAATGGCTGTGAAATCTCATTACATCATAAAACTCTGTCACTCTATTTGCAGCTGTTTTTCTGACCGAGGCTCTCTGAAGAGCATAATGCAGTCCAACACATTAACCAAAGATGAGGGTGTGCAGCGGGATTTAGAGAACAGCTTGCAAGTTGAAGCTTATGAAAGGAGGATCCGGAGGCTGGAACAGGAGAAACTGGAGCTGAGCAGGAAACTGCAAGGTGAGGGGCTGCCGGCTTCCTGCCACCGGGGTCCGCTGGCCCTCTGCACGCACAGCGTGTGCTCACACGGTGTCTCTGCCCTCAGAGTCCACCCAGACCATACAGTCCCTGCACGGCTCAGCTCGGGCCCTGGGCGGCTCCGCCCGGGATAAAGAAATTAAGAAGCTCAACGAAGAAATTGAACGTTTGAAGAATAAAATAGCAGGCAAGTGTTTTAGTCTATTCTTGGACATTAATCTCTTCAAAGAAAATTTTCAGTCCTTTTCATAACATGGAAAGTCAGGGAAGAAGCTTAAGCTTTAGCAGAACTATTTATAGAGTTCTGGTATCTCACCTGTTTATTTATAATTATTTCTTCAATTTGCGTAGCTCTAATAATAGAATTTTATAGTTAGAGCTAGAATCAATTCTTAATATTTTACCCATAAATTCAGCATATTTTGCCTTTATCTTCATTCTCCTTTTTGTAGCTAAGACAAGATTGTCATAACTTCTTTCCAGCTCTCATCAGTGACTGCCTGCTTGTCAATATTTTAGGTGCTAGATCTGTGGTCACCATCTATATTCTGTGGTTCCTACATTATCGAAAGCTTCATAAAGACCCAAATCACTTTTCAGTCCACCCTTAACCTGACACATGGCTCAGCCCCGCAGTGGACTCTCCTCTCCAAGCCTACTCTGGCTCAGTTACCTCTTCTCCATTTCCTGTCCAGAATGCCCCCATCCTGATCTAGAAAAAGGCTTCAATCAAGTCAGCTATTCACTAACACCTTGTTGCACCCTTCGGTCACACTGTGCCCGCACACACAGGTAGCAGGGACTCAGTAGAAGGATGCATGCTGCCCGGGGGCCCGCAGGCCACGGAGGGAGCTGTTGGCCAGTGGGCAGAGCAGTGGAGTGCTTCTGTTCACATGTGAAGGTGGCTGTGTGCAGGACATGTGTGTGGAGAGAGAGAGTCAGAAAGCCTCTAAGTGGTTAAGTGTTAGGAACTTTAAATAATTCACCACCAGTAAGTGAGATAGCATAAAGTTTTGCCTGCAAGGGAACACGATTTTCTCTTTTGCTCAGATTCAAATAGGCTTGAGGACAGCATGACTCTTCGCCATGAACACGAGGACTCTGCACATCGGCTGAAAGGCCTGGAAAAGCAGTACCGCGTGGTGCGGCAGGAGAAGGAGGATTTTCACAAGGTAGTCAAGGGTTCGGGTTTGTGGGAGAGAAGTTTGGGTTGGTGGTGTCCCACACGTGAGCCCTGGTGGACGTCCTCCGGGCCGCACATTTTGCTGAGCTGGGGCCATTGTCCCAAAGACAAGCTTTTGGGTACATGGTGTAGTGTGGCCAGCACCTGCTCTCGCTTTGAACTCCTCAAACTTCTGGCCTTCCCCATCTTTATTAAGAAAAATGGAAAAATCTGTCATTCTTTCTGTTCAGCAATTGGTTGAAGCTTCAGAGCGATTGAAATCCCAGGCCAGAGAGCTTAAAGATGCCCGCCAACAGCGAAAGCTGGCCCTGCAGGAGTTCTCAGAGCTCAATGAGCGCATGGCGGAACTCCGCTCCCAGAAGCAGAAAGTGTCCCGGCAGCTCCGGGACAAAGAGGAGGAGGTGGAGGTGGCCATGCAGAAAATCGACTCGATGCGGCAGGAGATCCGCAGATCTGAGAAGTGGAGGAAAGAGGTAGCGGTATAAGTGTTCTAAAGGTTGTGTTTGATTGGACTTTGTATGACCTTAATGCAGCATCTTGGCAAACTCGGGCTGCGACACAAAAGTTACTTCTAAGTGGATCTTAAGTTTTATGTGAAGCCAAGTGAGTTGATCTGCAAAGCGGTTATTTTCTGGTTCTCAGCCCTTGGTATCTGTGAAATCGTTAAGAGACCCTATAATACTTGCTTTGTATAATTCCCTTTTAAAGCAAGTAGACGGTATTTGTGCCCAACAACCACAAAGCAGGTGTGACGTGATGTGACACAGCGAGGGCCTCAGAGCACCCGAGCAGGTGCCTGCAAGAGGACAGGAGCGGGGAGACAGCCCCAGCTGGCGGGCCTCAAGCCGGTGGCCCTGAGACTTCGTTTCTGGACTCCTTTATGCTTAAAATTTATTGAGGAACCCCAAAGAGCTTTTGTTTGTGTAGGTTATAGCTTTTAATATTTACCATGTTAGAAATTAAAACTGAGATTTTTTTCAGTGTAACAATGAACCCATTATGTGTGAAATAAATAACATTTCATGAAAAGTAACTATCCCCCAACCCAAAGTAGTTAAAAGTGGCATCTTTCCCATTTCTGTGTTTCTCCTTGGTAACTGGCTTTAATAGAAAACACTCAGGCCGTCAGGTCTCTTTCTGCTCTCAGTCTGTTGTGATACACTGCTCTGGAAAGTATCTGAGGAAAGCCCAGCGAACGGGACACGAAGGGCCTGTGGGGGCCCGCTGTGAGGAACGCTGCCCTGGCAGTGCCCCGTGTGCCACCCCTTGTGTGGCGGCCCTGGAGCAGCCTCTCACTGGCTGCCTCCTGAAGGTCGCTTGGACACTGGGAAGCACACATCCCAGCTGCCTTCAGGTTCACGGCTTTTTGTCATTTGACCTCAAAATCCTATCTGTTTTCTTCTTAAACTGCTTATTTTGCAAACCAAGTACATGTGTAGTAGTGCCCAGCTCTGACTCAAGTTAGTGAAGCCCCTAGTGCAGCATTAGCATTCCGGTGGTGGGTGGAGGGTCGGGGGCTGGCGCTGCGCTCAGGTGGTCTGGGAGCCAGCGCGAAGACAGGGCCTGGACGTGCTGGGGCTGGAGTGGCCGCGCTGCTCTCACTTTACTACGTGTGAAATTTCCCCTTTAAAAAACAATCTGTGTTCACAGCAGAGGTACTTGTTTTCACAAATCAGTATCTTTTCTTGAAACGCAATGTAAAATTATTGATTTAAATTTTAATTTAAACTGATCGTTATCGATCAGCCATTCCAGTTAGGCCCTGAAGTGTATTTCTCAGCCTCTAACTTGTCATAATACCTGGTCAAGCGTGAAAGATGTCAGAGACCCTTCAGGTGTTTGTTCAGACTTCCTTGGGGTGAAGGGGTGGCGCCCGGGAGAGCTCTGTGCCCGTGCACAGCTCGTGTCCCCTCCCTGCAGCTGGAAGCTCAGCTCGAGGACGCGGTCGCCGAGGCCTCCAAGGAGCGCAGGCTTCGTGAGCACAGCGAGAACATCTCCAAGCAAGTAGCAAGTGAGCTTGAGGCCCTCAAGGTAGCGCCTGGCTGGGGCCTCTGTCCCTGCTGTGGGAGCAGGTTGCCTGTCCTTGCTGGCTCTGTGGCGGGCAGTGCACGTCGTCCTGAGTGGCATGCTGGTCGGGTGGGGCGTCACGCGAGGCAGCTCCAGACGAGACAGGGTTGGGGGGGTGGCAGGCCGTGAACCTGCCTTTGGAAGGCTTTTCCCTATTAGAAACAAGTTCACTCTTTTTTCTCTTTGTATAAAAGCCTCAGCAGTTTATAGGTGGCCCCATCATCAGTATGGAAACTGATACTTTCCATACATTCCAGGTTTCTCAATTCAGTGAAGGCCATTTCTGGAAAAGTTCCTCATAGCCACATCCTGCCACTGCTTGTGGTCTGGGGCCAGACAGCAGCAAGGTGCCTCGGGAGGGAGCGAGCAGAAAGGGCTGTAGGGGCAAGAATGTGGGCCAGGACGGGCAGGCCCCCGTCAGTCCAGGGTGACCTGAGGTGTGGACCCCACCTTCCTGAGCCTTGGTCTCCCTCCATGAAGTGGAGAGATTGGGCCTCTCTCCCTTACCCCGCACCTGGCCCCTCAGTGGGGAACTGCCTCCCCAGCAGAGGTTCCCATCACCCCCGTTGCCTGGTCCAGCCTGATTTGTGCTCCCCCTTGTGACGAGTCTCTTTATCCCTGATGACAGTCAGCAGTCCGCTCCCCGCACAGCCACTGGTACGCGCTCCCAAAGCCACGGCCGGAGCTCACACGTCCTCAGCTCTGGCGCCCTGGTCCCACTGATGCCTGGCACCTGCTGTCCTCACAGGCTCCGGCTGCCCTGCCCAAGGGCCTTTGCACTTGCTGGGCATCCCTGAGGTCTTCCGGGCTTGCGTCACATCTCATGTTGCTGCCCAGTCCTCATCCCGATGCCTGTATCGTGATGTGTGGCTGTCCTGTCACATCTTCCCTGGTGTGTTGCTGGCCCTCCCCCTTTGCCCCACAAGAGCAGAGCGCTGGGTGTCACCTGTTACCACAGGGTGCCCAGCCCTCAGGAGAGGAACATTCATGCCAGGACGTGAAGGCCTTCGGGGCGCCAGGCAGATCCTTGTCCAAGGCAGATCCCGTTACCCCTAACTTAGGCCTTGTAGCTGGAAGGACCCCATAACCAAGGCCAGCTATGTCACTTGGCACAGTGGCCATGTGGCCGCATTTACAAGTGCCTGCACGTGGTGGGGATGATGGGTGGTGAGATCTTTGAGGGGGAACAGAGGTTTGTCATTTATTTCACTCTTTATCTTCAGACAAAGCAAGGAAGCCGGGGACCAGGTGCCACCTTAGAGCATCAGCAGGAGATTTCCAAAATAAAGTCTGAGCTTGAGAAGAAAGTCTTGTTTTATGAAGAAGAATTGGTCAGACGTGAGGCCTCCCATGTGCTAGAAGTAAAAAATGTGAAAAAGGAGGCACACGATTCCGAAAGCCAGCAGCTAGCCCTCCAGAAGGAAATCTTGATGCTAAAAGATAAACTGGAAAAGTCAAAACGAGAGCGGTGAGTGTTCAGAGGCCCCTCGGTGTGGGGGTCAGCGTCTGCCCGGCCGCAGGGGGTGCCGGCGGCAGGGGCTCCTAAGGCTTCTCTCTCCCACCCCCCAGGCACAACGAGGTGGAGGAGGCAGTTGGCACAGTAAAAGACAAATACGAGCGGGAGAGAACACTGCTGTTTGAGGAAAACAAGAAGCTCGCCGCTGAGAATGAAAGGGTAACTCAGTACCCGAGCTGCCCAGTGGAGGAAGCTGGGGTTTTCATTGTTGAGTGTTGGATTTGGTATTTTAAATATTTCAGTGTTTACATGAAGTAGTGTGTTTGATCTTTACATGGGGTATTTTCATTGGTTAAAAGCTGCTAATTACCGGAAACCAGTAGCTGTTAGCACATGTGTGTTGATGTGCATTAAAATGTGACTTTTGTTAGATGCAATAAAATTCTATATCAGAAACTAAGTTTGGATGTAATTCTCATAATGATTAAAGAAAAACTTTCAAAATTCAAAGAACTGGTCATTGTAACCATGTGAACATCATCTTTAAAGGGCGTCTATAATGAGGGGTGCGTTGTTCAATTTCAGCTCTGCTCCTTCGTGGACAGACTCTCGGCACAGAACAGGCAGCTGGAGGCTGAGCTGCAGGACCTGGCGGCCAAGAAGGAGTCAGTCGCGCACTGGGAGGCTCAGATCGCTGAAATCATTCAGTGGTATGCCTCACAAGCCCACGGGACGCCTGCCGGGACGCCTGCCGTGTGCCGGACTTCTGGTCTGGGCCTGAGGGCGGCAGGGCAGCTCGGGAGGGAGGGAGCAGAGAGGGCTGTAGGGGCTCCCCGCCAGCCCCAACCCCGCCTGTCTGCTTCTGTCTTACACCTCCCGCTGTTTCTCTAAGGTCTCCATTTGGATTCACCACCATTTCCCCTGAACTGCTCATGGTGTGGGGGTGGGAGACAGCAGTTCTGCCTAGTGGTCATCCACTGATTGTGTGAATCAGGCTGTGCTTGGCCCCGCATGTTCTCAGTGAATCTGGCAGTGTTTCTGCAAAACACACCACGCAGAGGGCCTGGAGGCTGGCAGAGCAGCTGGCACAGCGCTCCCTAAATAGTGAGAGGCGCTCATTTGTCGTTGGGGCCAGCATTCTGGCCAACAGGATGTGGCACCACTGTGAACTGCAACGAGCAGCGGCACATTGTCTTGTCTTGTCCACTCACAGCATGTCCCTCCTCCAGGGTCAGTGACGAGAAGGACGCCCGGGGCTACCTGCAGGCTCTTGCTTCTAAGATGACCGAGGAGCTCGAGACTTTAAGGAGCTCTAGTCTGGGGTCAAGAACGCTGGTAGGTTTTGTTCTGAAACCTGCACTCGTATTACTGTGGAATTTATTACCAGCTTTATCTTTAGTGTGAATGCAGCAGCTAGACTTGGTGATGGGACAGCCTTTCACACAGGCATAAATGGTAACCCAGTTTGAGGCATAACAGCATTTTGTCGGTTGCCAGGAGAGCCCAGACTTTCTTATATCATTCATTCATTTAACAAATAATTTCTGATCACCTGGCTCCATGGAGAATCTTAAGCTGCCAGGACTGGCGTCTGCCCTCCAGGAGAGGCGTGCTGTTTTCCTCACCCATCCGTCCACCCCGTCGGTGGGCTGTGTGCTTCACTGGTGGCGGCTGCACATGGCCCTCTTCCTCTCTTTCCATTGTTCTGGGTCCACTTTACCCTTAAAAAATATGTACACATATATACATACACACACATAAATATGTAAGTTATTTAGTGAATAATATATACAAGTAAAAATAAAGACACATAGTAAGTTAAGAGGAATTTCTAATTTTAAGATAAAACCCTAAAAGAAATTCCTCAAAGAGATGAGCGGTGGTGAGGAAAGTAAACAGCATAAAGTAAGGGCAAATATTCTAGGGCAGTAAACAGGAAGAATGGATAGAAATATGGAGTCAATAGTACATATTTTTAAAAAAAACAAATAAAGTCATAGTGAAACTATTTTATCAGAATCTTAGCTAGAACTTAAACTTAGCCCAAATTTTCATCCCACGTTTTCCTTCTTTGAAGGTATATTTATCCAAAGGGGCAGCACCTTCAGGTGTTGTTAACTGGCCGCCCTGTCACAGAGCGAGAGCACGTCTGCCTCGCACAAGCGCGTGCTGGCCTCTGGTGGCCTCTAGGCCATTACCTCCGACCTTCCTGCACTTGCATCATTGAAGTACAACACTTTTGAAAACACAGATAGCTCACAATTCTGTTGACAGAATATGACCATGTTCTTTGCTCCATAACTGGGAAACATTTTCATTTTTAGATTTAAACTTATAAACATCAATACATTTTTTTCATCTCTCCGTTTTCCGGTCACATTTACTGTATGTTGCATTCACGAACTACGAGACATTCTGCGAGTGGGATTGTCTGCCACTTGTGGAGCGCCTCCTTGACTCGATCTCGTTCTCTCTGCTGTTAGAGATGGAGAATGAGAAGTTCTGGACTGTGTGTTCAGGGAAGACTTCTGCAAAAGTCTATCAAGCTGGTGTGTCCTTTCATACCTCTTGAAAGTGGTGAAGTGTGCTGGGACACCCAGTAAGGGAACAGGGGTGTGGGTGCTGTCGTCCGGCGCTTCAGCCCACTGTCACTCCATCGAGGTCACGCCGTCATCCTCCTCTCCCTTATCACTTTAGTCTTTTATCAGAGACAAGAGTAATGGAGTAACCAGTGATGTAATTCCTAAGATGACGAATAGCAGTCTTTCAGAATAAGAGGAAAAGAAGGTAAATGAGATCCCATAGTATGTTTTCAGTTTATAAGACTTTAGTGGACCCAAATAGAAATTACACTATAAAGGTAAGTTTTGTGCTTTAGAAGTTCTCTACAAAAGAGTAAAAGTTATAAAATAAAAAAACTAAAATAGGATTTGATTTACTTTTGTTATATATGAGGATTGATATTTGAATGGTGAAAGTTTAGAAAAAGATGGATTACTTAATTTGCTAGCATTCATTTTGTTTAACAAATCAATAGCTTAAAACTGTACTTACAGTATCTGAACTACTGTGTGTAGGACCCCCTTTGGAAGGTCCGCCGTAGTCAGAAGCTGGATATGTCTGCACGGCTGGAATTGCAGTCTGCTCTCGAAGCGGAGATCCGGGCCAAACAGCTTGTTCAGGAGGAGCTGAGGAAAGTCAAAGACGCAAACCTCTCCTTTGAAAGGTACCTGGTGCCGTGGTCTGGCCCCTGCGGGACCCTGGCGCTCCCTCGAGCTGCTTCGTCAGCTGATTAGAAAGAGCTTTGAGCAGTATAACGTTTCTGGCGCTTAGTAGGTGCTCCATAGGAACTGGCTGGCTGGATGGGTAGCTGCATTTCCCCTCCTGGGGGTTATGATTGATGTTTTCAGGAAACAGTGAGAGTGGTATGAGACTGGTTTTGATGTGCTGGCATCACTTCCCATGTGGGGAGGGGGCTGCTTGCCATCCCATGTCGTGGGGCAAGATGCACAGCCCCAGGTTCGGTGGACACCTCCTGTCTTCCTGTTTACCTTGTGTGGTTCAGTTCAACAGCTTAGAATTTGTCCTTTTAACCTAGAACTATATTTTAAAATAGAGGTTGAAGATAATGTGCCTATTAGTACATTTTTTTCCAACTTTAGTTATAACACCATTTTTACACAATAAATTCAGCAGATGTTTGGTGAGAGCCCACCATTTGCAGGTACCATTTTTATACACTTGGGGCACAGTAATGAGCTGCTATTTCATAAAATCCAGGCTTCCCTGCTGATGCGGAAGGCAGGCAGGGGCACGTGGAAGCAGTGATGTTCCCAGCAGGCTTACTGCGCCTCGTATCCTGTTGGTTTGGGGCTGAAGGAGTAATGTCTGCCATGAATATCACTCCCTCTGCTCGGAGAGCTGCCGCACACATTATCCTGTCAGTCCCACATCCCTCAGAGCCTCCTGAGGGGGCCAGCGCTCTACAGCCTCCACTGCATACTTGCGGGGACAAAGGGCCCACATGGTGCTGTAACTCAGCCCATAACAGCACTGGTACAGGGCAGAGCCCCCACTCAGCTGCTTGTCTGCCCTGCTCGCCTTCTGGCTTGATGTCGACTCTGGCAGCCTGCCTTTGAAAGCACGAGCCACAAGGCCCCCGGCACTCGGGTGGCAGGCTGGCATATGTGGCAGCTCACCTCTTGCTGGTTATGGGAGAGATGTCTAGAGGTCTGACGGCCCAGTAATCTGGGTTGTGTGTCCTCAGAGGACTCAATCTAGAAAGAGGTTAGGAATGTCAAAAACTTCATTAGGGCTTCATGAGATACACCTTCATAAACCATGATTTTTAAAATCCACATTTGCTTATAATCGTTTAGTATTTGTATTCCATAACATTCGCTAGGTAAAGAGGCTGTCCTGTTCCAAGAATGGAGTTTTGTGTCTGCTGTTGAGAACCCCACATCCCGGCACCTTCCTCGGCCCTGGAGATAAACCCCTGTCCTCACATTTTGTCACTCTGAGTCAGCATGTAGATGACCAACCAGTTCTCAGTGCACTTAAAGCCGTTTATTTTTTCTTTTCAGTAAACTAAAGGATTCCGAAGCCAAAAATAGAGAATTATTAGAAGAAATGGAAATTTTGAAGAAAAAGATGGAAGAAAAATTTAGAGCAGATACCGGTAAATTAAAATCATAAGCTTGTGAATTATTTAAATATAAGCCTTTTTTAAAAATGAAATGGTTTTATTTTAGATTTAATTTCTTCTAGATTTAATAATTTTTAGTTATGTAAAGAATACACATAATCCCAAAACCAAAATTGTGAAGCAGGGCGCACGCCCCAGATGCTCCCCAGCAGTGACCAAACCTCTCCGTTTATCCTTCGTTTCACGTGAACATCACTGAAGATGTGAAGCACAAGGCACATGGGCGCAGTCGCACAGTCTGTTCCCTGATGGCTCGCTCTGGGCATGGCGAGGCCACAGCCCGGGAGATGGTCCCACCCTCAGCACACCTGGCGCTGTTCGGGGCTCGGGCTGTAGAAAGCGCTGGCTCAGGTAGCCACCCACGCACAGCCTCTGTGTTTATGTCAGTGTTACCGGGTAGGTCTTCAGACGTGGGATGCCAGCCGAGGAGTGAGGTGCCCACACTCGGGCAGACACTGCCAGCTCCCACTCCTCAGCTTGTGCGTTGCTGTGCGTTTGGCCCCCAGCCTTGCCCTGAGTGTGTTTTTACTCTGAAAATCTGAGAAATAGCTTTGAAATACAGGTTTCACTTGCACATTTCTTAACTATGAGGAAGATTGAGCATCTTTTTATATGTTTAAGGACTATTTGTATTTCTTATTTTGTGATTTGTAGATTCGTATCTTTACCCATTTAAAAATACTCCTTAAGTTTTTTCTTGATTTTAAAAGCTTTTTTTGTATTGACAATCAGAGCCTTTTGTTTGTGAATGGAAGTTGCAAATATTTATCCTAGTTTGTCTTTTGTTTTTTACTTTGCTTATGTTTGTTTTCTTGGGTTTCTTTCTACCACAAGGGGATTTTTTCCTTAATTTTTGTGTGTCAAATGTGTCAATCTTTTCCCCTTTTTGAATCCCCAGTTGTGCAGTAATTGACTCATGTTTTCTTCTCAGGCATGTATGGTTTCATATTTTATACTCAGATTGCTGATCCATTTGGGATTTAGTCTGAGGCACAGTTTGAGGAATGGACCCAGTTTCCTCCTCTTCCTGGGACTTCTTAGTTGCTCGCTGCCGTCGGGAGGTCCCTCTCCTGCTGGTGCGCGAGGGACTCTTCGAGTGTGAGATCTCCATGACACGCGCACCTGCTCCAGGGCTTTCTACCCTGTTCACTGCTCTTGGGCAAGAGCCCCTTGATCGTATCACAGTGGCTTTGGTGACTCTGCCGCACTAGCTGGTGGGTCTCCTCTCCCAGCCATCCCTTCTTTTTTGAATATTTCTGGGATAGGCTTCCTCATTTACTCTCCCAAGTGAACTTTTTAATTCACTGTCCGGCAACAGGGAAAAGTCTGGAGGTATTTTTACAAGGGTCACATCACACGTGTCAGTGGCCTTGGGGAGCGCTGACTCCTGGAGGATGCAGAGCCTCCCGCCAAGCGTCAGACACAAGCTTGCTCGTTTACCTTGACGCGGTTCTCTTTCTTTCACAGGACTCAAACTTCCAGACTTTCAGGATTCTATTTTTGATTATTTCAATGCTGCACCTCTTGCACATGATCTGACATTTAGAGTAAGTAATTATCTTTTTAAAATAACAAATGCATTTGTGATGTTAGAAATCATGTAATATGAGCTGACTACCCATAGGGCCATGTAAGGTAATAGCCGACAGCTCATTTCAGTCCTGCTGACCCTGTGATTGACCCTTTGATTGTCAAGTGCATAAGGTCAGAGATGTCTAAGATATTTGACGTGTTCCCAGAGAAGCTTCCTCGGGTTAAGTGGAAGTTGATTAAGAAAGTGCTCAGCATCGTGAGGGAGGAAATCTGCATTGGTCTTCGGCGGTGTAGTGAGTATTTCAGACAGTTTTCTATGTATTCTCACTCTGCGGCAAGTGAAGGATAAGCCAGTCACTCTGCCGTTTCAGTGACCCCGGCGTGGCTCCACAATTCGGCCTCAGTGACGGTGGAGAAAGGTGGTTTCTAAGAACAGCCCAGCCCGGGCACCTGGCTGTGGTCCTGGTGTCGGAGGCCGGCGTGGCCTGCTACCTCTCCGAGTGTGCCTGGGCTCACTCCCCGCAGCCGGGCAGAGTGCCGTCTGCAGGGGAGCCGCTGCTGCGCACCGCGCGGGCTGCCCCTCCTGCGCCTCCAGTTCTCGATGGTGCTCCTGGCAGTGCGGTCTCCCCTCTTTTTCCAAACCAGTGCAGGAGGGCCCTTGAGGCAAGCCAGAAAGGACATTTAAAGAAAGCAAGTCTCACACTGGGATCTCTGAGGAGTGTCTCATTTTTGGTGGCGTCTAGCCTTTGGTGGGAGCACGTGAAGCCTGGGGGAGACATGGGGGCTGGCAGGGTGCGCCAGCATGCCCGCCACCTGCTGGCTGTCGGTGCGCCCGCCCTCTCCTCTCCATGTACACACAGACCGACTGTCCTTGAGCTGTTTGAAAGCTTCAGGCATCAGTGATCCCCAAATACTCCAGCGTGTTCTCCTGCGTAGCCGCACGGCCCTGTTACATGGAGGCCTTCGTGCTGGTGCCGCGGTAGAGCCCTTACTGTCCCAATGAGGTCCTGGACGGCTGGTGCTTCCCCCGACCTCAGTCAGAGCTCGAGGATCGCACGGAGCTGCCATGTCCCTTCGGCCTCCCTTCGTCTAGAAGAGTGCCCTGTCTCCCCCACCCCCATTAAAAAAAAATACCATTGATGTTTTTGTAGTGCCCAGACCAGTTTTCTTGTAGAATATCCCACACCCTGCATTTGTCTGCTATTTCCCTTCATGAGATGTGGGCTGAGCACCGTCCTGGCACGAGTTCTGTATAGACGTGTGCTTCCCGTGCGTGGGGGATTGGTGATGCTGGTCGATGATTGGGTTGAGGCAGTCGCCCTGCCAGGGCCCTTTCCCTGTGCGGGCCGTGGGCGGTCAGCAGATGACAGCTGAAAGTCTGTCTGCCAGTGCATTAGTGCAACAAGTGATCCTTGGCTAGATCAGTCACTACAGTACCAGGTAGGTTTGTGTCACTCACACTGTTCTGGGCAAACACCTGTCTCCATTCATCTGTCAAAATAGTTACTTATCAAATTGGTGATGCTCATCTTTTCCCTGAAGTCCTCAGCTTTTAAGAAGCACATGCATTTATCCATCAGTTGCACAGTGGTTCTTTAGAAAGCCGCGTGCCTTTTCCTGTAGATGCCGTCACAGGAGGGATGAATGCTGATGCCAGAGGGACAGACTGGTCGTTAACAGCATAGAGGGGGCCGGGAAAGCAGCGCTTTTCTATGACATGAGCAGGCAGAGTAGCCTTCTCTGTGGCGGGGGCCCCGTCCCTGTGGAGGACAACAAAGCAGCTTTCACACCAAGGTGTGGGGGTCATGACCTTTGTCCCTTGTCCTGTGCAGCCTGCACTCCTGCCACGTTAGGGTTTAGCCTTAGTCCTGCTTTAGTCCCACTGTGCTTTAAGTAGGAAGGATATTTACTGGTGGGAAGAAAAAAAATCCGTGGTCAGTCTGACCTGTCAAGAAGTGTTTCTAGACCCCAGAATCATCATCTTTTGGAAGCTTTCCCTGTATTAAACACGTTCGGTGCTAGAAGTGCCTAGCCACCACGATTAAATCAAGTGTATTTTGTGCAAGTTTTTATTGGGTGAGAAATGATTGTTTTTGTTCCTACTTTTGGTTACAACCATGGACTCTGTGTCCTCCTGCACGTCCTCTCTGCTGGCCTCCTGGGAACAAGTAAATCCTACCAGTACAGGCTCCCCATCTCACCCTCCGTGCCACCATGGGTGGGTGTCTCTTCTTCTTTAACTTGCATCCTTTTGGTTAAATAACCAACTCATGAAACGAGAGGGCTGTTACTTGGCTAAAATTAAGTTACTTAATATTCCTTCACTCTCCATTTATCTAAAGATAGAACTCTAACTCATTTAACATGCCTTATTTATGGGAGAATTTGCTTACATTTGTAGCTTGGGTGATGAGCTGAGTGATCTCGCCTTTCCCTCGTGAGTTTGTTTACAAAGTCAGACATTGCAGTGCACAGTGTGTGTGTGGTTCTGTGTGTGTGCCACCCTCCCGTCTGAATAAGGCTCCTTAGGCAGCAGCCTGATTAATCGCAGCTTCTGGAAAGCCTTGCTCTGGTTTGGCTCATGGGGATCTCACTGCAGAGCACAGGTAGAGCTGTGAGCAGCTCTTGTAGGTACCTACCCTGCTACCCTGTGCCCCGGGGTACTATTCCCTTGTGCTGACACTGCTGAGCAGACATCGGGAGCGTGTGTACGCCAGTGTGAATCATAACAGCTGTGATGTCCTTTGGTGAGAAATACTCATTTCAGGAACATTTATAAAAATGAGGTCATTTTTAAGTGGTTTTAGAATGAGCTTCAAATTAGCCTCAAAGCTTTAGCTTCAGTTTTAAATGGTGCTGCTAATTTGGGCATCTTGAGTTGTTAGAACAAAACATTGCTTTCCCATGTCATTAACCTTTCAGGGAAATTTTCACTTCTGGTCATAAGCCCGTAGTCCTCTATTGATGTTAGAATTTCTTCCCAGTCCCTGAAATGAGGTTTAAACTGTGCTGACATACCAGGTATAGATGAAATCTCTGCTTCCGCGGGTCGGCATTCTCCAACACCCTCCCTCTAAATGGCTGGGAGGGCGGGAGAGTGGACGGGCTGGGGGGCTGCGGCTGGGACTTGACTCGTCAGACTCCCCCCACCCACACGGTCACCACTCCAGCCTTAGAATGCCAAAGGCAGTGTCCTCAGGGAAGCGGGACAAAGCTGTGGGTGCAGCGGGGGTCTGACCGAACATTGCACAGTGAGAACCTGTGCCAGACCTCACGTCCCCGGTAGAGTCCACTGTTAACTTAAGAGCAGAACGGTGCTTTCCGCTGCTATTTCTCTGCCTTTGTTTTCACAGACCAGCTCAGCTAGTGAGCAAGAAATGCAGGCTCCAAAGCCAGAGGCGTCCCCATCGGTTCCTGTGGCCACAAGCACAGAGCAGCAGGAAGTAAGACAGTGTTGCCCTGCTGATTGTCACCAGGCCCTGGGTCCGTCCCCAACCTGCCCGTGTGCCACATAGGCCCTGATACACAGGTGCTGCTCTGGCACCCAGGTGGTTCCCCAGGCCTCCTCGCCGCTCATTCCAAGAACCTCTTTCCAGACTCTGAGCCTGACTTGTATTTCAGGATCACTGTCCGTGCCTTAGCTAGACACAGATTGCTTTGACAGATGTCTCAACAATATAGGAAATGGCAAGTGCAGAACTGTTCATTTCTGAGCAGGGTCTGACATGCCAGTACAGTGCCACACTGCGCAGACGCTCACCTGTTCCCGTTTGTCTCCTAGGATGTGGCTCGCGCCCCGCCGAGGCTGCCGGCCATGCCACCGCCCGCCGCACAGCCCCTCGTTCTGGCTGGACCAAAGGTAGGGCCTTGCTTTTAACCCTCAGTTTTTGAAGATAATGTTTGTGTAAATAAGACAGACTTACTGTGTTTATATGCACAGTAAGTTCTGCTATTGATCTGTTCTGAAGAGTGTGATCCAGGAAACGTCAGGACCCTGTGTTTTTGTAATTAAACCAGTGATATGTGAACACATTTTAATGGGAAAATTTCAGGGGCCACTGTCCCTGCCTTCACCCTCCAGGCCAGGCCCCTTCTCCAGCAGTAACCATTCTGTTTGTAGCTGTCAAGTCCCTTCTCCAAGTTTATTTCTGTCCGCCTGCACTCAGCGTTGTGGAGAACCATCGTGGCCTGCGGAGGGTGTTTTCCCCCAGCATAAATGGACCTACACTGAACGTGCAGCTTTGTACGCTGTCCTTTCATGGACGTGTGTTGAGAGCCATGCATGCCAGTCCTGGCAGGTCCAGCACTGGTCGCAGAGTGCCACTTGTGATATGGCAGCTTAGCAGGCATTCGCCTTTCTGCACTCAGATGCTCTCTTTTTTTCCTTTAATGTAGACGTGGCCTTTTTTAAGGTTTCAGCTATAGACAGCCACGTGGCTAGAGATGAGAAAGTGTTGTTTGGCTTTTGGGACCAAGGCGTGGTGTAGAGTCGGCGGGGTAAGGCAGACTGCCCTCTGGGTCTCTGTTGGTCACTCCCTTGCCTCTTACAAATCGTTCCATCATACTTCTGTCCACCCGAGTAACAAACCTTTTGTTTGCTGTATTTGAGCTTCAAAGACATACTGTCCTGCACGTCCCCAGCCAACCTTATGTTTCACTCCTGACAGGACAGGGCTTTTCCAGGCTGTCGCTGTTAGGAACAGGACTGCCTACTAGTCATTCCTCGCATCCTCACATACCCCTTGGCCTCACGTGCAAGAGAGACTGCTCCGGGTGGCAGCCCACCCAAAACATGGCCCGAGGCCAGACCCCAAGAGCCTCCGGATGGCGAGAATCTTCCGCCAACTCAAGTGGCGGCCTCACTACCCCTGCGTGCAGCCTGGCTGACCTCGCTGGTGCTGGCAGCAAGACCCGTCTCCGAGGGAGGCGTGGGGCTTCCTCTCAGGCTCGGGCTCTGTGCCATGGGTGTCTGGCTGGCACCACGAGGATGGCACACACCTCAGAGAGGAGTTGCACATTCTCAGCTTTTCGAGATCCTTCCCGAGTTGCACCCCACTGTGAGCAGACCGACAGCCTCCTCTAGCCAGGCTCACCTTCTCCTCATTCCTCCTGCAGCCCAAGGCCCACCAGTTCAGCATCAAGTCCTTCTCCAGCCCCACCCAGTGCAGCCACTGCACCTCCCTGATGGTGGGGCTGATCCGGCAGGGCTACGCCTGCGAGGGTGAGTGCCATGCGCCAGGGTGGTCCTGGGCACAGCCGGTGGGGAGTGCACTCCCCAGGGCACACCAGAGAGGCCAGGCCCCGCCGGGAGCGTGCACATGCTCAATAGAAATGTGTGGGCTAAGATCTGAGCCCTGAAGCTGCAGTGGGAGCATGCACAGGTGGTCTGTGGGTAATAAAATGAGACGTTGTGCCCATTATAGGAAATTGGAAGCAGAAGTAGAAAGAACTTTTAAGATTTCCATTACTATGTCATTTGCAGTAAGCACTGTTACTTTGTTTTCTTCTGATTGTGGCACTTTAAACTCCATGTCGTGCTCTTGTCCTGTGCTGGGCCCCCGGCTGGCTTTTGACGACATGGTCGTGGGGTGCAGTTACCCCTCTTGCTGATGGACGACCAGCCAAGGTCGTGTGGGGGAGACAGCAGCCCTGGGCTGGGGAGCTACCCTGCAAAAACAGCTTCCTGTTTTTCTTCATTTTATGCTATACCAGAAGCCTTTCCCTTTGTTATTGAAACTCAGCAGGCCTTTTGATCGGCTGCCTGGGCCCCTGATTGTCACTGAGACCCTTGCCCTGACACGTACCTGTTGGGTTTCCCATCCAGCTGGCCGTGTTAGTAACTCTGTAGTGAGGCTCGGGCCTTCTGGGAGCAGTACCTCCAGCTTGGGGCCCTGCTTCCTGTTCACTAGCCCTCCCCTCCCCTCTAGGGGCTCCGAGGACCATGTCGAGAAGCCACTCGGTGGCCAAGTCCCAGAGCCCTCTGCCTTGCTGGGCATCTGAGCCATGTCCAGTGACTCACTGATGGGTCAGCAACGTGCCTCTGGCGTGTGTTGCACAGGAGCCTCTGCGTGGGGGGAAGCAGGCACTCACGCTGTGCGCCTCTCTTCCAGTGTGCGCGTTCGCCTGCCATGTGTCCTGCAAAGACAGCGCTCCCCAGGTGTGCCCCATCCCTCCCGAGCAGTCCAAGCGACCCCTTGGCGTGGATGTTCAGAGAGGCATAGGAACAGCCTACAAGGGCTATGTGAAGGTAGGGTGGACATGGCCCAGGTGTGGTGGCCCACAGCCACGCCCAGAGGGTCTTGAAAGGGGGTTCTTTGCTGTGTGAGGTGACCCTTGTGCCAGTATTGGGAGGCCTCCACTCCTGGGAAACGAGGTCTTCAGCCTGCAGTCTTAAGAACCCCACAGAAACACTCACAGTCATCTGGGGCCCCTTTGTCCGCACCTCCTGGGCTATTTGCTTGACGATGAGGGTTCCGAGCCAGGTGCTGTGTGAAAACCACTGCCTAGGCAGCCCTGGGTATCTTTCTGGCTCCAGCATTCCAAGATGCTCCGTGTCTGGTGTGATCACCTGTTTGCTGAGCTGTCCACCGTGTCCCGACTCCCTCTGTCACGTGCACACATCCCCCAGCAGACACAGCTCTGCCCGCCAGCCTGGGAGGGAGCTCTCCTTGGAGAAGCAGCCAGAAGGAGACTGGGGGCACAGCAGCCACCTCCAGGAAGTCCTCTGGGGCCCTGCTCCCATTGCCTCGACATGTGGCTGTCCTCCCAGGCCCAGTAAAATATGGTCACCTTTATCTGTAGGTCCCAAAGCCTACTGGGGTGAAGAAGGGATGGCAGCGGGCGTACGCAGTGGTCTGTGACTGTAAGCTCTTTCTGTATGATCTGCCTGAGGGGAAGTCCACCCAGCCTGGCGTTGCTGCAAGCCAAGTCTTGGATCTCAGGTCTGTTTTGTGCATTGTGTTCTTGTTCTAGGAGCTTTATTTGACTGACTTAACCTTTAGTCCCAGTGCCAGTTTGTTGCTTAATGACCTTTAGTCTCATTTATACCTTCCATTGTTAATTATTGTGCAGTTCTGAAAACAGGTGCTTACAGTGTGTGCTGGAAACTTCCCTGCTATAGATATTTTTGCGCCAAGCAATTTGCTAAATAGGCACATAGTAAGAAAACTACGTGTCCCAAGAACAAATACACAGGCACATGGCACAGCCCAAGGCCGTCTGTGTCACAGTGTCTGCAAGTGTTCTCTCTCCGTGGCGGGAATCAGAGCCCGGGCTCTGTGCGGCCAGAACATTTGCTGCGTGGCGGCGTCTCTTGCCACTGTCACCTCTCATCAGACACCTTCAAACAGATGAATCACACATATGGAGATGGCAGAGCTGCTTCCTTCCCGGCTTCTCTTAATGTCTAACTCTGCATCTCCCCATTTGTAAAGTGGGCATAACAGCAACATTACCAGGTCAGAGGGCTATGAAGGTGAGCAGGTTAGAGGCTTCCTGGGCTTAGTGCCTGATCTGGGTGCTGTCATCTGCCATCTGTGCTCCCAACCCCGGTGCCATCAGGACAGCTCCTGCTGCTGCCGCCTGGCCTGGGCCCCGGAGGCACGTGCCTTCGAGGACAGCTGCAGGAGCAGAGGTGTAGCAGGGTCGCCTCCACAGTGGTCCCCACATTCCATGTCCCTAGCCACTGGGCAGGGAGGAGCAGTGGCACCTGTGTTTGGAACGTGCCCATCCCTCGCTGTGCCCAGGTGTGCCCTGGTCTGGGGTGAAGAGGCTGCTGGCAGGTGTCCCAGGGGCATCACCTTGGCGGAAGGGCCCCGGGTTGAGAGCATATACGGGAGGTGGGGTTTTACTCTGAGCGATCGCCAAGTGACTCGTGCCAGTAGCCAGGGACCCGGGGCTGCAGTGTTTGTGACTGGCGCGGGCTGGAGCAGTGCGCGGCGGGCGCTCCTGGTCTCCCAGCACGCTGGCTGTGGAGACGCGCACAGGGGTCCCGCGCTGTCAGCTGTCTTGTCGGTATGACCCTCACTCAGGTGGAGGCAAGGGGCCTGCCCCGTGTTGTAGAAAATAAAGCCAGGCAGGTGTCCTTGCTGTCGGGCTTGTGCACAGAGGGTGGAGGCGAGACCCCGTGTGAGGCCCCTCCCTGACGTCCCTGTGCGCTTTCCCACCAGAGACGACGAGTTCTCCGTGAGCTCAGTTCTGGCTTCTGATGTCATCCACGCCTCCCGCCGGGACATCCCATGTATATTCAGGGTATGGTGTTTTCTGTTCTTTAGAGACTTTTTACTAATCTTTTTTTCAGAAATCACCTGGTTCAGATAACAAGTTCTGGGCATTTCATTGAACTGTGGCAGGGGGCTAGCACACATCCAGCATGTTTTCCCACCTTCCTGCCTGGCTCCCGACCCCTTCCCTTTGTTGGGTGCCTCCCTGCCCACTTCCTCTCAGACCCGTCACCCACATTGCCAGCACCCCTTCATCCTCCCCGTCAGTCTGGTCATAGCATGCTCCCTGCTGGAGGCGCCCCGTGGTCAGGCGCCAGGGAGGCCAGCCACCGCAGCTCCCCAGGACTCACTGGCCAGTAGGGGGAGCAAAGCAGGAAGGAGCGAGTAGACAGTGTCTGTTGGCATCTTTGTGGGCCAGGACAGAGAGTCTGCCCGCTGGGCCCGTGTTATATGCCGCAGTGCTGGGAAGCTCTAGGGATGGTAGGCCAGGGAGAGCGTCATCCCCTGGCCCTGCCACCACTGGGAGTTTTCATAAATCCATTGAAATCTTGCTTGACCACAAAACTAAGTCTATGCATCATTTTTTATTGGATCACTTCTATTCAGAAACCATGTCTTGTATACAGTACAGAAAATTGCCACCACTGTGTACACACTGAGTGATCATTCTGAAGCAGAAGCTCTCTAGGTTTCCTGCCAAGTGCCAAGGGAATGGAATGCTCACAGGGAAGCGTGTTTGGGCAAAGCATTTTTGTTTGAGATCCTGTTTTCCCTGGATGTGTTCTGAGAATCTGTTTTTGATTATAGTAAGAGTTATAATTCAAGAAAACAATTTTAAAATGGGCAGTTACACCACAGTTTTAGAAAGAGCAGAATTAACTAACATCTGACAGGAAAGGGATCTGGGGTGCCCACTTAGAGCTATGCTCCTGCCTGTTCACAGCAGCAGAGCCCCTCACAACTCCTCACGACCTCGGGGTGGCTGGGGGCCAGGACCTGAGGCTTTAACCCTGACGGGCGCCCTGGGTCAGGGCGCTGGGAAGTGCATCCCTCCTGGTCCCACCTCCACTCAGGGCACCATCTGGGCAGGACACGGGCGTGTTTGCTGGGCCTGGTGGCCTTACAGCTCTTCTCTGTCTGTCATGAAGGTGACAGCCTCTCTCTTAGGCACACCGTCCAAGACCAGCTCCCTGCTCATTCTGACAGAGAATGAGAATGAAAAGAGAAAGTGGGTTGGGATTCTAGAAGGCCTCCAGTCCATCCTGCGTAAGAACCGCCTGAGGAACCAGGTCGTGCACGTCCCGCAGGAGGCCTACGACAGCTCGCTGCCTCTCATCAAGGCCGTGCTCACGGCTGCCATCTTGGGTACGTGCTGGCCACTGTGGGGCGGCGCGGGGCTCCTCGGGGGTGCTTCGGAAGCTGCCACAGTGCCTCGGCTGAGCCCTCCACCCGGTGGAGACCACTACTGTGGTGCAGCAGGAATTTGTCATTACTCTGGGGGTTTTAAGACGGAGTCTGTGCTGACGGTGCTGATTTTATGTTCTTATGTGTCCTGCTGCCTCAACAGACGGGGAGAGGATTGCGGTCGGCTTAGAAGAAGGGCTGTATGTCATAGAGGTGACCCGTGACGGTGAGTGAGCAGGCCCAGTGCCCGCCTGCCGGGCTAGTGCTGGTGGGCACAGAGCCATAGGGGCTCAGCAGAGACGGAGGCCCTGCACGTGTCGGGTCAGCTCAGTTACCAAGTCAGAGGACTTCGTGAAGAAAGGGAGGCAGGCAGCCGAGAAACAGTTAACAGCAAAGGAGACGGGTGTTCTGCAAATGTCTGTTGCGTGTCGCCTGGTGCCTCAGGCTGAGGGCAGGGTCCCCACTGGCGAGTCCAGTGGAGCGTGAAGACCGCCCCCCGTGGGTGCCGGGGCCTGTAGGCTCCTCGTGGGGCAGCCAGAGCCTCCCACAGCAGCAGGGTTTACTTGATTCCTGGATGCACTGCGGCCTCCCTGAGGCTTTCCCTCCTTTGCTTCGGATTTTGACATCTCACTTCTCCCAACAGGAAAAGGCAGAGGCACCCCTTTGCGTCTCCTGTGCGTCGTGGTGCCGGGTCAGGGACAGAGACGCAGGGGGCCAGGCGTGGCCAGGGATGGGCTCCAGGAGCCTCCCCCAGGGAACGGGGGGGAGGTGGAGGCGGTGGTCCCTCCCGGGTGAGCTCGGGGTCTCAGCACGCCTGGCCACATGGAGGAAGGGGGAATGACTGCTGCCAGCCCAAGGCTGTGGGTCCCTTGGGACCCAGACCAAGGGCTCTGGCTCTGAAGTCCCAGAGTGGAGGTCCTGACCCCATTAGGGAATGGAGCGTATGAGGGTTAATTTGGGGGCCAGTGAGAGGTGGGTGCTTTCACATAGTTAATCTAAGGGTCTGGGGAGGTTGGAAGCAGTCTGTTTCCCAAATGCGACCCAAGGGTTCTTTGCTTCAGGGATGAGCTAAAGGAGGTCCAGGTCCCGCCCCCGCCAGGACCATACCACACTGGGTGTCTCCCAGCCAGGGCCCCGGGGCTTCTGGCAGAGGGCACTGTGGAGTGAGGTTGGCGGAGGCAGAGGCCGGTTTCCCAGAACCGCAGTGGGAAGGGATGGGTCCCCTGCAGGGCAGGCAGAGCCACCCCTGCCTCAGTACTGACACGCCGCCCTGCTGTTGCCCTCCCCTCAGTGATTGTGCGCGTTGCCGACTACAAGAAGGTACACCAGATTGAGCTCGCTCCCAAAGAGAAGATCGTGGCCCTCCTCTGTGGCCGGAATCGCCATGTCCATCTGTGTCCATGGTCTTCCTTTGATGGGGCAGAGAGTAGCCTTGATGTCAAGCTTCCGGAAACGAAAGGCTGCCAGCTCCTGGCAGCTGGGGCTCTGAGGAAGACCTCTCCCACCTGCCTCTTTGCCGCCGTGAAACGGCTGGTCCTTTGCTATGAGATCCAGAGAACTAAGCCTTTCCACAGGAAGTTCAATGAGATTGTGGCCCCTGGCACTGTACAGTGGATGGCCGTGTTCAAGGACAAACTCTGTGTCGGCTACCCTTCTGGGTTCTCTCTGTTGAGCACCCAGGGAGATGGGCAGGCTCTAAACCTGGTAAATCCCAATGACCCCTCGCTTACGTTCCTCTCACAACAGTCTTTTGATGCCCTTTGTGCTGTGGAGCTCAAAAGTGAGGAGTACCTGCTTTGCTTCAGCCACATGGGACTGTACGTGGACCCACAAGGTCGGAGGTCACGCATGCAGGAGCTCATGTGGCCTGCGGCGCCTGTTGCCTGTAGTATGTATATGTTTTTCTGTTGCCATTTCCCTGTTGCTGCTTCTTGCATAGACGGTCAGCACGCGTCCTCTTTGCTCCAGTGTGTCTCCCACCTCCCTAGAGAAGTCGTTAGGCGCCAGGCAGTGGGCCGCATGGCTGTCCACTGCGCCATGTGGTCCCCAGGCCACATTTCAGACCAGCTCTGGGCAGGCTTGCAGGCTGACCACAGCCTGCCATGTCCTGAGCCAGCCCCACCCGCCCCACCAGCACCCCTCACCCCCCCGAGCTCAGGAGGCTCTGCTCCCCAGAAGGGCTCTGCAGGAGGCCCGCAGCTGAAGAGCCCCAACGGAGATGACCCAGCAACTCACAGCCATGAAATGAGCTAAAGGTTTTTGATGGCCAGAAAAAAATTCAGCTCTGATGTCCAGGTTAGAGTTCCTCTTGGACAGACATTTTCCTGAGAGTAGGAGCTGATTTGCTTAATTGGGGCTTTCCATGTGACTCATGGCACTGGGTAGAACTCAGGACAGTCCAAGAACTTAGTGAGCAAGGTCCCTGGGGTGGGGCTCCATTCAGGGGACACTTTCCGCCTAGCTGGCTGCTTTTACAAGACCCTAACCCTACAATCCCACCAATTTGATATGTCCAGGTAGCCCATACCATCGAACCAGCAGGTCAGACAAAGTCAAGAGTGATTAGACGAGCCACAGGGCACATGTTGATGGGGGCCAGGAGGGAATGGGGCAGGTGGAGGACCTCAAAGCACCACCTGTTGTCGGCCTCATTGGTTTTGCTGAGCTGGCAGAGTGACCAAGAGTGTCGGGGCCTGTGAGTGAACTGCTGACCTCCAGCCCGAGGGCTTACTGGGTGTCTCCTGACTTCTGCCCTCAGCAGAGGCAGTTGGTACAGCAGGCAGGCGGGTCAGGCGGCCAGGTCCTGGGGCGCAAGGCAGGAGCCGGGGCCAGCCGGGAAGGAGGCGCGCCCATTGCCTTGACACCCCTCGCCCACCGCCTCATCCCTGTGGGCAGCCGGCACGGGTGCCCTCGGAGCACACGGGGTGCCCGCTCCTCAGAGCCTGTTCCTCCAGGCTCTAGCAGGGGGAAAAGCTGAGTGTTGCGAAGGACCTGGGTCCCTGGTGTGTTTATGATCTTGGCTGCGAGTGACCTGGTGTGGACCCTGGTGTTCCCGCCTTCTCCTCGGGTTCCGTTCTCTTTCCACCTGGGCTCTCTTTCTCTCGCCCGTGCACAGTACAGACCCCAGATCAGGGTTAGATCTGGCAGAAAGTAAACACCTTCTGGGCTGGGGAGCTAACTCCCTCGCCTACGTGTTCCTCTCCCTGTGCTGAGCGCTTGTGTGCTCACCTCTCCCCGCACGTGGGGCGGTGTGACCTGTCCCGTCTGACCCAGGAGGAAGCCGAGGGCTAGAGGTGAGCCATGCGTGAGTCCCACAGCAGAGGCCGGCTCCTATGCGAAGCGACCTTCCGTAGCCGTCTGGCCCTGACTCGCTTCCTAGTCGAAGGCTTGCTGTGGGCTGTGCATCTGTTTACCAGGGGCCCCAGGGCCCACACGGGTCTCCTCCCAGCTCCTCACAAGTAAGAGGAGCTGCCCCAGAAGCTGCTGTGTGGAGACTTGGCCTCTGAAAGTTCATCTAGGCTGCCTGACTTCTCCAACCATCTTTTCTGCTCCTGTCACTCAAAAGGAGGGGCCTCTTGGTTTGTGGGAAATGTCACTTATCAGTCTGGTGATGAGTTCCAGCATCTTTTGTCTTCTTCCTAAGCTGTTTCATTTTCTTTCTTCAAAAGTAAAGAGCTGATCATGCAGCCCATTTGGAAAGTATTAATAGCAACATAGCAGAAGCTTTTCAAGGATTCACCTGCTAGTAAAGTGTAAGTGATGAACATTAGCTTTTAACCTGAGAGACAGGCAGGAGCCAGAGCTGAGCTGGAACCATCTGCACAGCTCTGCATTTCTGCAGGGCGATGCTGGGAACTGCAGGGCAACGGTGAGGACAGCTTGCCTTGGACCAGGGCCTGGCCACCCTGGCAGGGTGACTGAGAAGAGGACAGCCACTGCTCCCTCTCCAGTCATTCTGAGTGTGGGGGTGTTCCCCTTAAACCTCAGATGCCAGCCGGGCCAGCAGTCTTGGTCTCCCATCTTGGGTGTGCTCGGCCGGATTTCTTGTCACCTGACAGGATGCCGTCACTTAGAATGAGCAGGGGAGGACAGCGCCATCCCAGAGCCCCCTGCAGGAGGATAGTGACCATCCCCAGGTGCGTTCCCGCAGGCCACCGAAGGGGCACCTGCCAACGTCCTTGGCCACCAGGTGCAGCAATGGGTGTGGCCACTGCCCCAGTGCTAAGCAGTGGTTTCATGTGAGATTTTGAATATTTACCCAGAGACTTGATTCTTGGCACCTCTTAAAGAAGGGATTTGCTTCAAGAAACAACATTCAGCCCCTACCTGAATTTCTGCATTTCTGATGTGCTGCACCTGAAGTAATAAGCTTCGGCAATGATTGTATAAGAAATCTAAACGGAAAAGCTGATTTTTTTAAACAGCCCATCTTCAACTTCTATGCCATGGGATTTAAAATGCAGTCTGGGTACAGAAGTGACGGTAAAGCATTTAAATGTTGGTTGTACTTGTCTGAACTTTGAAGTGAAATTATCTACAGTTTGAGCCATTGTAAGCCCTGAGCTGGGCGGTGCGGCCTCCCCTGCGCTTGGTGACGCCCTAGGTGCCGGGTCTGGCCGCTGCCCTGCAGGGGAGGTGCCAGGTCCGGGCCGCCTGGGTTGCTCACCCGGCTTTGCTCCGTCTGCGCTAGGTTGCAGCCCCTTGCACATCACGGTGTACAGCGAGTACGGCGTGGACGTCTTTGACGTGCACTCCACCGAGTGGGTCCAGACCATCGGCCTGCGGAGGGTAAGGCCCGGGGGTGCAGGAGCCTCCTCCCACCTGGCGCTGGCCCCCCAGCAACCACGCACTCTGCTCTGTCACACAGATAAGACCGCTGAACGTGGAGGGCACCCTCAACCTGCTTGGCTGCGAGCCACCCCGCTTGATCTACTTCAAGAACAAGTCCTCAGGTTGGCCTTTGTCCGCGGTGCAGGCAGAGGGAGTGGGGGGCAGCCTCGTCCCCAGGGGCGGCGGGCTCCTGGTCACCATGCGACGGTGGGCACCGTGCCTCCTGCAGGAGCAGCCCTCAGCGTGCCAGACACCTCTGACAACAGCAAGAAGCAGATGCTGCGGACCAGGAGCAAGAGGCGGTTTGTCTTCAAGGTGCCAGAGGAGGAGAGGCTGCAGCAGCGGCGGTAGGACGGGGCCCGGCGGCCTTGCAGAGGAGGGTGAGGCTGAGACAGGACTGCCACATATCCATGAATCTCAAAACCTTCTTCTTTTCCCCAGAGAGATGCTGAGAGACCCAGAATTGAGATCTAAAATGATCTCCAACCCGACCAACTTCAACCATGTGGCCCACATGGGCCCCGGTGATGGGATGCAGGTGCTCATGGACCTGCCTCTGGTGAGCTCCGGGCAGGCCAGGTGCCTCCGAGACACGGCCAGGCCTGCCCCGGCCTCTGCCGGCTCATCCCCACGCGCCCTGTGCTCTGGGCGGGCCTGGGCGCTGGGCTCTTGGGTCTGTCCTGGTGGAGCTCCTCCATGGGCATCTCCTCGTCACCCTTCCACTGGGGGCATGTTTGCCAGAGTCTGCCCCCGTTTCAGTCTGTTAGTATTGCGTACGAAACTGGCTGCTGAAAACATTTCTAAGTAACATGGGCAGGTAGTGTACTTTTTTCTTTTTCACTTAAAAAAATGTTTTTTGTAGGACTTAACTTGGCCTAAAATCACTATTGCCAAATCTTAGCTCCAGACTGACCACTGCCACTGTCCGGAGTGCCTCCCGGGCCACTGTGCTCAGCGAGGCCTAGCCTGGCTGCGTCTGGGGCTGCAGTTGGCCTGCGGGCGCCCAGCCAGGACCTGAGCGGCTCACGTGCTCTTCTCTTCACCCAGAGTGCAGTGCCCCCTGCCCAGGAGGACCGGACCGGCCCTGCTCCCGCCGGCCTGGCCCGGCAGCCCCCGCCCAGAAACAAGCCCGGCGCCCCGTGGCCCTCGTCAGGTACGGAGGGCGCCGGGCTTGGGCCCACCCGCGGGGCTTCCGGGCGCTTGGGCAGCTCCTGAGCCTTCTCCTCAGGCCGGGGCTCGCTCTGTTCCACAGGCGGGCCGGAGCCGGGCGTGGCCGTGCCTCTGAGAGGCATGTCCGATCCTGACCAGGACTTGGACAAGGAGGTAAGACTTGCCTGTGTACAGCGGGGGCGTCCGCTTCCATGTGCCAGGGATCCGAGTGGCTTCTTCGGCTGAAGGTGCCTTGTCACCCCAGGGCAGCCGTGGGGGCCCAGGCCGGGGGTGGGGAGGCAAAGCAGAGGTGCCAATGGCGTGGGGGCCCGGAGCACCCCACTCGCCGCTTTCCAGGTCATCTGCGGGCTGGAGGCTGAAGTGGGTTGGCCTTAGCCTGCTGAGAGGGGCGTGGGAACGAGTAGTGCACTCCTGGGTCAGACCACGGCCTCCGCAGCTCGGAGCCAGGCCTCCTGACAGGCTCTGCTCCACAGCCCCTGGCTCCCCCGCTGCAGCTGGGGCTGCCCCGAGCATGGGTGGCTCCTCCTGGGCAGGGGCCACTTGGCATGACTGAGAACTGCAAGATTTCTTGTGAAAAGCCCAGCCAACTTCTCCCTTCTAGACTTTTCTGTGTAGTTTTACACATAGATGTAGCATGCCTGTAGGTGAGCTAGTTTTAAAGCACAGGTGGCCTGTGGGTCTTGGAGAGCCTTCCGAGTTGGCCTGTCCTCTCCCGCTGCCGCCTCCAGCAGCCCTTGGGCTGAAGTCAGGAACAGCCCCTGGCCGGGTTTGCTCTGGTGCCCCAGGCCCGCCCCTCCCGGCGACCAGACCTCATGCATGCGGAGGCAGGCCGCTCTCTGCCTCAGCTTCCTGTGTGTGGGAGGGAGGGAGAGCGCCCCTACCTGCAGGGCTGTCCACAGACAGCAGGGTGAGAGCGCCACCTCCAGGACAGGGTGGGGCTCTCAGCTGTCATCCCTCATGTTGCCCATCTTTCTGAGCCCGGTGGCTCTTCCAGGACCTATTGGCTCTTTTCCGAGGCCTTCACGCCACCACCTGTCCAACTGCTCAGCCGTTGTGCTGTTCTCCTGATTTGTAGAAACTCTTTATAAATGGGGTTGTCTGATGTGAATGCTTTCTCAGTATCACTAATATTTTAAATTTTTTTATGATTTTGTGAAGTGTTTATTTTTGTAGTTGTTAAGTTTTATAAATTAAATAGGTTTTTGGGTTTTTTTGGTATCATTAATCTACAATTACATGAGGAACATTATGTTCACTAGGCTTCCCCCTTCACCAAGTCCCCCCCACATACCCCATTAGTCACTGTCCATCAGCGTAGTGAGATGCTGTAGAATCATTACTTGTCTTCTCTGTGTTGCACAGCCCTCCCCGTGCCCCCTCCCCACATTATACATGCTAATCGTAATGCCCCCTTTCTTTTTCCCCCCCTTATCCCTCCCTTCCCACCCATCCTCCCTAGTCCCTTTCCCTTTGGTAACTGTTAGTCCATTCTTGGGTTCTGTGATTCTGCTGCTGTTTTGTTCCTTCAGTTTTTCTTTGTTCTTATACTCCACATATGAGTGAAATCATGTGGTACTTGTCTTTCTCCGCCTGGCTGATTTCACTGAGCATAATACCCTC